AAAGTCGATATTTTCTCACTCTAAAAACTCTTCTGGAAATCTTTTCTGGCTATGGACGTCTACAATTACAAAGTTATGTCTCGATCTAGCTGGATCGCCTTTTCTCCGATCCAGTCAGAATCTCCATATTAGAGAAGAAGAAAAAAAATTCGAGAGTGTCCGTTAATGGAACTTTCACTGCATTATGATTTCTTGTTTACAGATAGCAGACACCTCTACTTAATTTAAGAAGGAATGAACTCAAGTTATTTTAAAGTAGGTGCGCTTTGCAAAGAGCAAAGCGCATCTACTTTAAACAATTTCCTACTTTAAATAATTCTAGTATTGTTGAAAAAAATTACTTAGCAATTATTTAATATGAAGAAATCTTGATCCTACAATAAGATTCGTTTTTAATCTGAAACTTAGCTTTACGGGTGCCGGACATAGTTCATTCGCATTGCTATATAGGTATACCTCGAGTTATGTCGTTCTCGATTATACGTCGTTTGTCAAAAGATATATGGAAAAATAAAAATCAAGTTTAAGTCATTTTATTCGACTTTACGTCCGTCCGACAAAAATATTAAAGTCGTAATATCACTAGAAAAGCGTTAAAGCACATAAAATCATATTAAAATATGTACATTTACAGTAAATGTTAATATAATCATTATAAATCCTAGAGAATTTTCAAATTCTCCCCACTGGGGGGAGATGGACAGGATTAAGGCTTACTGTAAAGAACTCTGCTTCTATGATATTTATACTATTTTAGATGAGGTTTTTTGCGTTTTTGATTGCGTTTTAATAGGATACGTCAACAGAATGTACACTAAGAAGGGATTTTTCGAAAAATCCCCCCCATGGATGAAGTGTCATACATTTATAATAGATACATTTTGAGCCACAACAACGCGTGGCAGGGTCTGCTAGTTACTTTATAAAGTTGACAACCGTAATATTGGTACTCTAGCAGGAAATTTAAAAATAGCGGAATAAAAATATCAAATATTTTAGTCGTCTTTTTTAAACTCCTATCAACTATACAGAACTATCATTAAAACATACCAGTAAATTTCTATCGGTTGGGTTAAGTTATAAACCTACTATTGCGATTCACGTAATCGGGCGAGGGCGGCCAAATATCTAGCGGGCGGGCGGCTAACAGCCCAGAATCGGTCCTGGATAGAATTGGATGCGGTATACGTGTAGCATCTACAGAGCTCCTAGTCTTCCACCAGATAAACCGGGTGAGGTTGGTGCTCTGTAAAGCGAATGCGCGAATCTGGCTTTCTGGATGCTGACAATACGGCGCTTCCACTTCGCCACTAATACAATAGCAATCTTATCTTTTTTTCTCACGTATAGTATAGAAATTTGTAATAAGATACATAATGCGGTTATAATAAAATATTTTGCGATTATTTTCATATAATTAAAATTAATACGTATTTAATTTTTAGAAAATACAAGGAAAGCGGCGCATCCACCGCTTCCAATGACAGCACGCCACTGACCAACACGTATATTATTAGAAATTATTTTTATTCTGTGCCAACTAGGTGATTTCATTACGTTTATTCGAATACTGTACATTTTCTTTTAAGCGAAGTTTTACATTTAACAAATATTTTGTCAAATCCGAGATAAAATAATTTGTTAAAAAGAAACTTTCCTTTAAAAAATGCATACTCGAAATACAGTTGTCCCTTGATAATCCGACAGGTATGGGACCAAAGGTGTGTCAGATTACCAAAAGTGTCCGGATTACCGAAAATAATTACATATTTCGCATTGTTTTGCTAGCAGTAACTTACAATATTCTCTACTCCAACTGTTCGAACAGAACTGCTCACATAAAACACACGAAATGTGTGTCATCGTGTAAAAATTGGATGGGGAGATTCACATTGCGACATGCAAGCAGACACGTAACGGGGACGGGTACCTTGACGGGAGGTGCGTCGGACTACTGAGCATATCGGATTAAAAAACGTCGGACTATAGAGGGACAACTGTATTACATCTATGACGTATGAACGGATTCGAATTCGTTCCATTTCGCATTCTCCGGCGCCATCTTGAAATAGAAAGTTTTCCGGAAACTGCGAGTTATTTTTCCCTCCATATTGACATTTTTCGAAAAAGTTGAATTACATAAACCCGAATAACGCAGGCAATGTAAATTTTTGATTTATCAGCGATCAAAATTGAATAATTGTCGATAGAACATTACAGATGATCTCATTCTAAATAAAACACATACAATCATTTTATAGATATTTATTAGCAGCACCAGTATACATTATTTTAATATAAAAATTGCATCTCCATAGTATATATAAAAAAAGATATAAATAGGAACATTCATATCTATAAAAAAATTGTGCTATTGTTTTACATTTTTATTTTATATTTAAATATAAAAAAAGGAATTGTATTTGTTCTAAATAAAAAAAATTGCTTACACTCTTACTGAGACAACACATTGCATATATAATAGACAATATACAAAAAACAAAATTGAATAGAACATTTAGATTGATTTTAAATTTAAAAAAATACATAATTAAAAACATAAAAATTTTATCCAATTGTTATAATTTTTTATAAATAAAGATATTAAAAATTTAATCAAGAGTAATAGTATAACATAAAACATAATTCAGTGATATAAGCTGCTTAATTTAATGGCTGAATTGTATTTTATATTGGGTGTGTTGTCCAGTAAAGCAGCTTTAATACGATTGGATAAATGAGTCACCGATAAAACTTGTTTCAAATGAAATGAACTACAACAGTGGCTTATTCATCTAACTGTACTGAAGCCATTATACTAGACAACACACTCATTATTACTTCTGATACTTACAGCAAGAGTAAGAATTTTGCAATTTAAAAGTTTTCATAGCATTCTATTTGAAAATTTTAAAATATTTTGCATTTGTTTCTACATCATTAATAAATTATGAAAGCACACTACATATATTCACAGCAAAATGTTTTGATATAAAATTTTCTTTGTGAACTTTTCAAATGATTTATAATAAAAGTTCTATATTAATATTTAAAATGTATAAATATAAAAGATAAGATATATTTAAATATACCTTTTTTTTCCTTTTCTATTTTTATTTATGAAATATTTAGTATAAAAATGTTTATCTGTTTTTGCACATGATAAAATAAAACATTGTATAAAAATATGAAATATAAAATACATCAGAATTGATTTTGAAATGTATATCAAGTAAGATATATTCATTTTTTTATATATATATATATAAATAGAAAAAATAATTATTATTTTCTGATAAAAATTATAAAATTTTTTACAATTAATTATTTTCTTTTATAAAATATATTTGTAATTTTATCCATCACACACAGATTCATAAGGCTTTGATAACTTTACATCAATTATTATTTATAGTAGTTAAACTGTCATGTAAAGTTTTCTAAATCAAATCAGGAAATTAAACATTTGTCCTTCACTTACTTTATATTTTATTATCTGAAACATTTAAAAGCTTGAAAATCTTTTTTGCTTTAAATTTTCAGTACTGAAATTAATAAAATGGCATATTGTAAGCCAAGAAAATTTCTGTAATTTACTGATTTAATTTAGAAATAGAAAGGCCGATTAAAAATATCTGAAACGTACTGAACAGCAATGTACTGTACAAATTCACTTTATTTTATTGACAAAGACAATATTTATAATCAAATTTCATGCTGTTGAGACAACATAATTCTTACTGAATTTCATTTTTAAATAATTTAATATTAGTACTTTGTCTATCCATCTACCTGCATTTATTATTTTTGAAAAATTTATTTGAAATAAATATTTAAAAAATTATTGGGATGGAGAATTATTACAGAAGTATTTTCAAATAATTACATGCTCTAATGTGCTTATATCCTTGCCTGCTTTTTTAAAAATTTTATTAATTTTAAAAGAAATGTACTTAGAATATAATACAATAATTAAAATATTAGATCATGTAAATTAGCTGTAAAGTCTAACAAAAAGGTTTTAAATTCTTATGATTTTATTAATTATTTATATTAGATTAATTAGAGCTCTCAGCTAAAAATCTGAAGAATTTATTATTGAAATAATTTGAGAGAGAAATTATCATGTGTGTGCTAAATTGCATAAAGCATAATAGCCAATGTGATTTGTTTATTCTGCATCAGACTAACTTAAATAACTAATTAAATAGTCTCTAAATTCTTTAAGAAAATATATGATAAAAATTTAAGCATCATATTTAGACATTTCCTTGATTGTTAGCAAGTTTATAAATTTTTTACAAATAAATGTAACATATAAAATGCAGGCACAAAGATGGATGGAAGACAAAGTATTACACTATTGAGTATCAGTATGTCATACATATTTCTTTTCTGTCTTATTTGTTTACAAACTACAGTAGAGCGTCGTTTATCCGAAAGAATTCTAGTTGGCAAATTTAAATTTTCGCCAGTGCTGTGGCACTGCAATCTTTGGCTTTGTCTTGAGCTACTCAAATATTTTACGTTTTTTATACTAAATTAACTTCTGAAGTATAATTTTTTATTGTTTTTACATTTTCTATTAAATTCAATATATTTGAATTTGAAAAAGTACAGTAGAATGTCAGTTATCCGAAAGAATTCCAGTTGGCAAATTTAAATTTTCGCTAGTGCTGTGGCACTGCAATCTTTGGCTTTGTCTTGAGCTTTGGCACTTTTGTGTGGTGTTTTTCTGAGGACTGTGTGTCGTGCTGAATCGAACGTTTTTGATACTAGATTAACTTCTAAAGTATAATTTTTTTTTTTTATTGTTTTTACATTTTTCAATATATTTATTTTGTTTGTACAAAATAAAAAAATAATTTTTAACGATACAATAGTCTTCGTTAGGCTTAACATCGACGAAAATTCAACACGAAGTGACATGCAATGGAGAAAAATTTCAACATGGGATAGGTTAATATATTTTTCATACATAATCGGTTATCCGAAATATTGATTTTCCAAACAACCCCAGTCCCCAATTGATTCGGATAAACGACTCTCTACTGTATCAATATAAATCATTTACAGCATTATTGTTATTTCAGCTGATTAAAGTACTTAAACTATATAAATGGATGAACAAAAGAACAGAAACAATTTGGCTAGTATGAACAACAAAATTAAATCATTTCTCATGCAGATCAGACCTACAGTTTTCTAAAAGTGATAGTATGAAGTTCAAATGGGATTTCTTGAGAATAGATATTGTCATATGAAATAATAAACAACAATGTATCTAAAAATTAATAAATGTCATCTACATTTTAGAATGCAAAAGAATAATAGTCAAATAATATCAAATTTGACAAATTATTCATTTATTCATTCATTGAAATAATGTAAGTGCACTTTTAAAAGGCACTAATTCAATGAATTTTCGATAAGCTGCAAAAGTGAAAAAATGATGTAACAAACTACAAATTTGAGAACACTCATTTGTCTTTAATTCAAAAATATTATCAAAATATTGTTTATTACAAATATTTCTTTAAAATTTTCAAATATATGAATTAGTCAAAAAAATAAATAATTACACAAACTTGGTGATTAAAATTTGTCTATGAAATATAAAAATAATTTTTCAATAGAATAGTAGCAAAAGCACTTTATTCTTCGTTTTTTAAAAGGAATAGAAAAATTTTATTTCATATTGGTGATGTTATAAATGTATAGTTATGAAATAGTGTATTCAAATTATGAAATGATAATAGTTTGATTCATAATAATTGGATTAAAATTTTTTCTATGACAAAATGAAGACTTTTCACAAATACAAAAACACAAAACAATACTGTTTTTATTCTGATGATTATAATTAAAAAAAAACAGCAATCAATATAAGATTGCTGTAAAATGAGTATATACCTTTGGCTCTATGATAAAGAAAAAAATATCACATATATCAATGTATAATTAGAAAGATTACTTATCTGGAAGCCTTGCTGAATTAAAATTATAAAATTTAAAGCAATATATATTTAGTTTGGCAGCTTTCAAATGGAAATAATGCACAAATAATGGAATGCATGAAATTTTGGCATCTACAGATCAGTATCATACCAAGCTGTAATCTGATGATTTGCATCTTGTTGCTGTTGATGCTGAAGTCCAGGATCTAAACCTTCAAAATCAAGATTGTCCAGATCCATTGGGCCATAAGCTCCTCCACCAACAGAACAAACATTTCCTATATCAATACCTTGGATGGAATCAACTGGACCATTAGATTCATATCCTAAATAAAAAAAATGAATAAAATCAACGTTTGTCATATATTAAAATAAGGATCTTTAATTTTGTTTTTCTGACAATTAACTAATTTATTTATCTATTTCTTTATTTCCAGCACAGTGTAGATTATAGAGTTGGTTCAATTCTGTCTGTTATGATTGAACCTAATTTGCAATGAAGTCAGCCTAAAATATCTGGGCCACACAATGATCTAAAATTTCCAAAAAATCAATAGTTATTTTCAAATCAGATTTCTCAAAACGCACAAACTTTTGCCTCAATCATTCGACTAGCTGCACAAATGATGAAAATATTCAATTTCATTGAAAAATGGATTCATACAAGATTTATAGTGTTCTCACATTATATTAATTTAGATTAGCACTTAAAGACATATTTTTAATTATAAATAGTTTCATTATAAAAAACACCACACAGTCTTGCAATAAAACACTGGTAGCTGATAAATAATACACTAACAACTGCAATAGTTTCACACTGTTTTGTTAAATATAATAATTAATTTTGAAAACTTTATTTTGTTAATAATCAAATATTTCATAAATATATATACAGTAATTTGTACAGAAAATTAAAACATAACTGCTGTAAATTATTTCATGTGGAGAATAAAATGTATAATCATAAAATTATTAAATAACATTATAAAAATTAAAAATTTAACTTCTATTTAAAATATTTATAAAACAAGTTTATCATCATTCTTTTCTGAGTACCATTTTGTATGTGCTCATATGTGCACACACAAACATAAGTTTATATAAAAATGTGTGCATAACAATATTGAGTCTTTTGGGCATGAACTTGTGAAGTATGCTAATTGCTTTTACTAGTCTATGTAATGCAATTTTTTAAAATTTTGCTATCTAAGAGAAATACAAGTAAAATATTTTAAAAACTAATTCCAAACAAATTATTATAAACTTAGATAATTTATTTTGACAAAGTTTTTATATAATGTTTTAAAATTAAATCTTCAGAAAGTATCTAAAAAGATCACTTTTAAGAAAATATTTTAATACTTTGTAAACTGTTTAAAATAGAGAAATACAGTATGATTACAAAAAACATACTGCAAATGTTTCCTGTAAATGTTTAGTCTTAACTTAAAGTTACATATTACAAAAAATATTAAATAATTACAGTTACAACGATGATTTATGAAATACTTTATGATCTAATATAAAAAAATGTCAATTTAATTTTAATTATAATAATCAATATAAAAAGAATAAAATGTAATGTAAAATATGCAATTAAAATTTTTTAGTGGAGATCATTACCATCATTTATTTTATATAAAAACTGTTTTACTAAATACTTTAAATGTTTCTTTTATATATAAAAACAACTGAATAATTATTGGACAGAAGGGGATTTGACAACTAAAATTTTCTAAAAATTAGTTTTGATTCCATTTTATAATTATTTTCTCAGAAAAGCCAGTTTTTGAAAGTACTCTTCATGTCTTCACACTAATTTCAAAGTGGTTTAATAAAAAATATTTGAATTTTTAACACACTTTAGTCAATTATATAATATAAATACAAAATCTGTTTATAAGCACCATTCCATGAGTTATGTATATTCAGTCATTGATATAATTTTGATCTTTGTGTGAGAAAATTTGTTAAAATTGGTGACAGTTAATACAAAATTTTAAAATGTTTGTATTAAAATAACAATTGCTATTATAAAATAATTATACTTATAATAATAAATTTTATGAGACACAATACTGATTTTATAATTTAGTTGCTGACTACTTGTAAAATGTTGAAACAAAAACAAAGATATTACAAAATTTTATATGCTATAAACTAGAAATTAAAAAAATCTACAGTACTTACCAGTCTGTGAATACATGTCAGGTCTTCCTCCCATATTTGAATTAACATGAAGTTCTTGTCCAGATTGATAAATCTGATCATGATAAGGTTCTTCTGATTCAAGTATATTCAAGTCTGCATCAATAGGCTAAATATTTTTAAAAATAAATATTTAATCTTTACAGTTAAATACTCAAGATATTGAAATTATACTTAAAAAATAAATTTAAAATTAACTGAACTAAAATGTTTAATAATATATTTAAAATACTTATGTAAATTTATTTTTATTTCTAAAAAACTATATGCCAATCTTCCAATCTTATCAACAACCAATTAACATTTGCTAATAATACATAATGTAAATGTACAAAAAAAATTGCCTGGTTAATATTTTCTTTCTTTACATTTTTTTGGATAATAATTAACTTTGTTAAAAGTCAGAATAATTACTACAAGAGAATGCAATATCTATTTAAGGAAACTAATTTCCAAATATATTTACTTATATACACTGGCATGCAAAACTTAAGCAACAATGTAATTTTTAAGCAGACAGCCATGAAATTGTAGAGGAGTACAGTGGGTGATCGGTTAACGAACATAATCCGTTCCAAGACTTTGTTCGCTATTTGAATTGTTCGTTAACCGATTATGAATTTACCATAGGTTTGTATGGGAATTTGATTAATTCGTTCTGGAGACATCCCAAAATAAAAAATATATACTTTCTTACTACGTTTATTTATATGTATACACAGATGTGCATTTTTATTAGTTATGGTTTTTTGTTTGTGGGGGTTAAATAATCTGTCTAATGTCGATTGCTTTTCTCTCTTCTTCGGGATTTTTCAGAAGTAATTAATAGCATTGTAATTGTAGAGATCCCCAAGCCTATTAACCTCAACCTGGTTTGTATGCCATTCTAAGACCGTTGATCTGACATCCCCCATTTCTTCAAAAGATCTTTAATTAATAGCAGATATCGGCATTAATCCTCTTTTTCAGAATAAAACATATCTTGCCGAGTTTCTTGGTGTTCTCTATTCAAGAGTTCTTGACGTTCTTCTGTCGTCAGATCCGTTTCAGGTTCCATTATGAGCTCTTCATTGTTCTTTATTTCTCAGATGTGATTTTTGTTATTCCTTTAGCTGCTTGAGTCTTCTTGATAATACAGTATCTTTCTTAGATAAGATTGAACTGCGGCCTACTGTAGACCTGTTCAAGCCATACTGTCCAGCAACATCAGACATCTTTTGCGCACTCTCTACCTTTGCTATTATACTCTCACCTTTCGAAAATAAAAACCGACACAAAACTTAATGAGTGCCCGCCCGACAGTCTCGCGAATACTATAAAAGAATTGTTTGTCAGAAAAATAAAAGGTTGGAATTACAAGGGAGTATTTCAAAGTTCGAGGGATACTATCTAATCAGTATATTATCAGGTTGAGCGTCGACGTTGAGGTCTCCCGCGCTCCAAAAAGTTACCTGAAAACAAAGGAAAATCAGTCGGTATTTGCTATTTTCATCGCTTCTTTTTATGTCTGTTCAGTGAAGTGTTCGTTATCCGATCATGTGTTCGTTGTCCGATCACAAAAATCTTTCACGAAAGTGTTCGTTATCCAATTTGTTCGTTAACCGATCACCCACTGTACTTTTTTGCGATCAGTACAATAAACATACAATTCAATAGAAAGGTGATTCGTATGCAAATATCAGGAATACATCACAGGTGACGTAAGAGCTTGCAAAACGCGTGCAGTCAGCGTGCGCAGTTTAGGACTACAATAAAAAGAAGGACAAAAGGCATTATTAAAGACACTTGCTGCAAGTTCAAATGAATTTGTATGTGCAATATAACTAGAAGAAACCATCTGGATGACTTTACATGTGGTAGAATAATTGGCAAGCTTGGGGGGGGCATAGTGTAATAAGTGTAGCCCAAGAGTTTGGAATCAACAAGTGTAGTTTCATGAGCTTGGAAAGCATTCCAAACCACAGATACAGCTGTAAGAAAGGGTGGTGGTGGTCATAAGAAAAACAATGCCAATGGTATATTGTCCTGCAAGTGAAAAGAGATCAATACCAATCAGCAGGCACCATTGTTCAGCAGCTGCGTATAGTCAACAGGACAGAAAGTATTGCAGTTTAATGTAGCCAGATGCCTTCAAAATGGTGACCTATTCGCCTGCTGTCCTGAATACTGCATCCCATTGACAGCACCATTTAGACTGGTGTAAGGAATACAAAGACTGAACATCTCATCAATAGAGTCACGTCTTATTTACAGATGACAATCATTTCAGTATCACAGCAATTCTCAATGCCAGTTGATATGGAGAGAGATAGGGACATGGTTTTATCCCACTAACATCATGGTGGTCCTGGGGTGCTTGTTTGGGGAGGCATTATGATAAACAAGTAGACTGAGCTCCAAATTTTTGATGGATGTACTGTTACTGGAGATCACTATGTCAGCAAGTGATCCTTCCACATGTGCATCTGTTTCGAGGTGCCATTGGTGCAGACTTTGTTTTTATGGATGATAACTCCAGGACACATCAACCCATGCTGTTGAGGAACTTCTAGAAAGTGAAGATATCACTAGAATGGATTGGCCAGCATACTCTCCTGATTTAAATCCCATAGAATATGTGTGGAATGCTTTAGGGAGACACGTAAGGTTAAACTTATGTCAAACTTTTAAGTTAGAAAGTAATTTTTGTTATTTAAATATTTGTTAAATATATGTTAAAATTTTGTTTTTAAGTAAAACATAATACAAAATATTATTGTAAATTTTTATAATAAGATTTTAAAAGCAAAGATGGTCAATACTCCAATCACTCAATTTGATTCTTATTTTACTAAAGAAAAGTCCTGCTACTGAGAATGCCCTATCCAATTCGATTGATGAGGGTGGAATCATCTTTAATGCATTTAAAAGATGATGATGTTGTGTTTTTTCACCTGTAGCCTGGAAGATTTCTAGTTCATTTTTGAGATGCGTTACAGTTATTTCTTTTGCCATCTAGTATTCTTGATTTGTCTACCTTGGCTGCTTTAATAGTGGCATCGAGCTTATAGCCTGATAATTCAGTAGTTTGTTTGGCTTTAATAATCAGGTTTATGAAGAAAAACTTCATACTTGTTTGTATCCTTGCCCAATTTGCACAACTTGACATAATGCAGTTATTGAAGCTATCGGGCATGGTTAAGAGTTAAGATAGCACAAGCACAATTAGTCCAGATATTATAGGTTCTGACAAGTAAAGAATTCTCAGAGTCCTGTCACAAATAGGCTACATATTGATTATTGACAATCTGTGACATGCCATAATCAGCAAAAATTTAAAAAACCTAATAAGCAGGCTTAAAATTAATAAATAAAAATATATTCTGACAGTTTATGAGTTAATTACACTTTCTATTTGCAAAATTTCCTCAACTTTAACACAAAATTAAAAAAAAAGTGAATTTTAAAGAAATTTGCATGATTTCCCAGAATGAGCTGAATTTCTCAAGATTCTGTTGGAGAAACTCTAGTACCAATGCTACTCTTTCAATAAAGCCTTTTTTTTTTGTTTGATTCCATACTGTATGTGTTCTATTAATTTTTGCGCTAGTATGCTTTCTTCAACCTTTAAGTACAAAATACTGTCTCTGTATTCTGAATTTCATGTCTTCCAGGTAATTTCTTGCAGAGTTATGGCAAAAAACAATTGTTGTTTAAGTTTTGCATACCAGTGTAATAAACAATTTTAATAAATAAATTTTATATTGATAGATTAATTTTCAATCTACGATTTTTAAAATACAAACACATGGCTCCCATTTAAAACTATTCACATCATTTTGCAAATAAAACTATTCATTTGATTAACAGAATTGTGCAAGAATTCATCAATCCCAAAAGTACCTACTGTACCATGGTTTTTCATCAGCAAGATTACAAAATTAAGCCCAACCTAATAAACTGAAATTAAAATAGTCTAATGTAATTTGTAATGTAAATGATTTTCATTTACATTTCATAAATTTCATTAGTAAATGATGCCATCTCAAAACAAAACTATAAATGATACTTTCAAGAATTTTATAATTATTAAGAATTAAAAGTGCAAAATTAAAAATTGTATACAGTAGACCCCTATAACACAGTATATACGTTCCGTGTTTTATGAAACTCATGTTGTACAAGTCCTTAAATACATGAGCCAATCAGAGCCCGGCATGTATGCAGTTTATGGACTATGGCTGTTTGAAAGATTTTCTTCCATAAAATTAATCGATTCTAGACTAATTTGACTCAACATTTCCAAAACATGTATAATTTTTTTGGGAATAATCCATATAAACTATGCTATAAACAAAAAATTGTAGGATTACTTACCGAGTGCGCACCGTTTGACAACGCCATTGCTTAAGCTTGTTTTCGTCATGGAGTGGCGCATCGAACGGCAGGGGCGTGTTTCCTGATAAATTATTTTTCTGCGAAAAATTTGCTGAACTTTGGAGACATCATTAATATAAATATAATTTTTATGGCTATTAAATAATAAATGATTTTTAGTAGGTTCACTGCTCATTTAAACTCAATGGTTTGTGCAATATCTGCTATTGGTCTAGATTCAACCAATCCTATCGCAACACGAGTTGGCAATGACGTTTTACCATATCATACAAGTCTCTTTTAGCATGTTTATACAAATACGATCGCAATTTTTCCGCTGTTATATATGAATCATCCATATTAAATGAACCTGTTTTACAGGGGTCTACTGTATTTTGTATTATACTTTAAGGCCCAGTTCTCATAAAAGAATTCTTGTGAAATGGCAGCATGTGGTTACTGCATGGCAGTGCACTAATTACTCTGGAATAGAAATTTAATTAAATGTAATAATTCCCATTCAGTGGAAAGTCTGAAGCTGTAGATTGTTACTGCTTGCCAGATGTATTGTCTGTAGCAAAATAGACACCACATAGTAGTCGTAGATTGACTATGAACTATTGCATCATACAGAATAATTCTTAGAAGCAGAAGTGGAAGTTCTGTGGAGGGTGCATAACTAACATATCATTCATCAAGTCAGTCTCATGTTGGTATCTTCTTCCTGCAGTGTATTTTGCAGAGTATGATACAGTTCATCAAAGCTTGAAAACAACATTCTAAAGTAATTAAAAAATTCTAATTGTTCTCTCAAAGCTGGTTAAATGTAATATAAAAAGTTCCTTGTAATAAACAACTGCTCATTACTGGATATACCAATACCTTCTATTTTTTTTTGAGAACTGAAGTCCCAAGAAGACTATAATTGCACAGTTATGAGCATCCATGTCAACTAGCCAACTCAAAATAAATTCTTGTCTTCATCTGCAGAAAAACAACGCACCACATAGTAACCACACAGCCATCATTTCAAAGAAATTCTATTCATTTGAACTGAGCCTAATGGGGCTTTTATGTCACAATAAAATATGCTGAAAAAAGAGAAATGAATGTTGATATTTTGAGAAAATAGGGTTATGGTAAAGTTATCTGAATGTGGCTAATATTTTTTTTATAACTAATTAGTCAAATTGCTGAAGAACTTTTCCTGGCAGTGGGAGCCTTGAATAAAAATGTTATCAATTAAAAAAATAAATGTATCTAATAAATTTTTTAAAAACTTCAGAATTTTCTCTGAATTTGACAAATTAAAGTCAGAGTGTTTCAATCAAGAAGCTATTTTATTATTCAAAAATTAAATAAAGGCATAAACATACTCACAGTGGTTCCCCAATTACCAATGTCATCTCTAAAAAGAGAATTGGTTAATTCAACAGACAATCGTTTTTTATAATCATGAGGTTTATCTTCTGACATTCTAAACAGAACAGCAGCAGCATATGTAGCTAATAAAAATGATTTATATTACATTATATTATTGTACTTTCTAATTATAATTAAATCTATAAAAATAAAATGCAAAATTTATAACAATGAAATTNCCCTTAAATAAATGGGAGAAAATTCGGAACTATTCAAACATCTGTTCTGATCGAAGTGAAATAAAAACCGGAGAAACCCGGACGAGGACCCGGAAGAAAAGACCGAAACGGAGATTACGAGAGAGAAAAATCAAACGACTTAGAACCCAGCAAGATAGCACGGTCTTTACCCTCGAATCACCTATCGAAACATCAGAAGAAGAATCACCATTGATTAGCAATCCTTGGGATGAATCTATTTTGTCATCCATCCTTCCTCCATTACCGGAAGAACATATGGAAAGTAAAAAGGAAAGTGATAAACTTAATCTAGAAAGCGAAGAATCGGAACCGGAAGGAAAACTAGAAATAACTCCTCCATATATATTCCGACGCCAAGAAACAAGTCCAACTCCATCGATGTCTCGACCTACCCGTAATCACTTTTCACGATTTACTTCACCTACTTCTAGTCGATCATTCCCACCGTAGGTCTAGAAGTTGAGTTGTAGCATATTAATAGGGCATGAATTGCATGTCACAGAGGTCATATAAAATATAGGAGAGGTGTTTTAATTAAATCCATTCCCTTATTTTTGGCATTAATAATGATATTACCCTATTTCAGTGGGAAAGAACCTTAAATAGCGTAACGAAGGAATTCTTCATTTACTGCGCTCTCAAACGACTCTATTAAATGATACCCTAAATATAAGCAAACATAATAGACACCAGATCTATATATTATTTAAACGACAAGAATATTTTGGAGAAATCCTGAATTTATACCAATATAACCTAGCCTTTGAGATAATTCTACGAACGATCGAATTCTCCGTTCAAGAATTACATTTCCAATTGGTAGAACTATGAGAAACGATTGATATTTTAGAACAAGGTCGATTAAGCACCTACTTTATCTCACGAGAAATCATGTTACGAACTCTACGAGACATTCAACTCCAGCTTCCGGAGGGCTACGCAATGATCGAACCCATCAAGCCAGATACATTGTTTAAATATTACCAATGGATAACTACCATTGCTGTAGCTTTACCTGGGAAACTACGAATTTTCGCCAAAATTCCCTTAATCACCCCTAGTGGATATTTTGATATGTACGAAATTGTCAAATTTCCAACATACATCCCTACATTAAAAACCTTTTTCCAATTTAAGCCAGAATATCCTATTATTGCTCTGTCTATGGATAGACAATCGTATATGTTGCTCCAACGATTCGAACTCACTATGTGCAAGATAGACCACTTTCCTATTTGTTCATTAAACGTTCCCATACAACGATTCCCTCAACGAAGTTGTGAGTATGCTCTGTTTAATGGAATCGAAACCCAAGTTAAAGACCTCTGTACTCGACAAATCGTCGCAAGATATGCTCCTATCTTTAAGAGAATAGATGAACAAGGAACCTGGATTTATTCCACATCTGAATCTCTCACCTTAACTATCAGATGTCCTACTAGACCTCAGAAATCCCCTTTTATATCTACAACTCACAAATTGAATTATACCGGGATAATTAATCTACCAAATGCATGTACAGGGTACCTACCCGGAATCGTTCTCACCTCACACTTTCAAAGACAATCAACCTTACAACTTGAGATAGCACAACACTTAGTAGTTCCTCAAATTGAACAACTTTTAAATCAAACTGAACTTCAAATACTTCAAAAACGTCTCCTAGAATCACAAACCCAAGAAAAGAGAAATCTAAACTCCGACTACGATATCAAGTTAGCAGACCGATCCTTATCAGACGTCACCTATGACCTCAATCACCTGTTACAAATGACAACTAAATCAACACCTCCATCCTACCTCTCAACGGTAACGACGATAATTACAAGTTGCCTTGGTACTGTCGTTGTGGGATGCTGTCTTTATTATATCATTCGACGTTACATTCAGCCGAAAAAACGTCGTCCACCACCTCCACCACACCCCACAGAAACCGAGCCAGAACACATCTCTCTTAGTGAAAGAGAAAATCAACAGCAACCCGACACCCAACCAAGCGCTTCCCGAGAAATCGCTCCCCGAGGCGACTCTACCCAAATAGCACACAAACTTATTGTTCAAAGCTATTAAGGCCTCGCGCTACACTCAACAACCACCATTTTATTATTATTTTTTAATTTTTCCAGTTATTCGGCGTTCCGAATTTATATTTTCCAGCATTCGAATTTATAAACGGAACCTTTCTCATATTTTAAAAATTTTCTTAGATTTATATATACCTATATATATATCCTAAATTTAGAATTGTAAACCCGAGAGAGAGTAAAATTAAACATATATGTAACCTCCATATACCTCTAAGTGAAACTCAGTGACAATTTTACCATTATTATTAACTTTTATTAATGTTTTAATCAAAGAAAAGTGCTATTTTTACCTCTTAAAGCTGAAGACGTCCAACGCACGTGACTCAACCATTCTAACACTTCTAAGTGCCAATCAACCCATCGCACAAGAAGTTCTAACCTGATCGCCACTACAAAATAACAACAATTTACTTCCTTATAGTCCAGAATCAGCTTGAAAGTGTTATTTCGCCGACAAAACAACATCGTGCACACAAAAATCCAGCTGACGAAACCAAGAACTCCAAGAAAAAGGACCATCTCAATCCTAACGAACTTTGACCAGTACCTTCCTATCCAGGTCAACGAGAACTTCAACTGACCAATCAACCATTCCAGTTAGAAGACTTCAGTCCTCCCACCTCGAGCAATAAATATTGTCGCGGATGACACGTGCCGGGATTTATTTGTATAATCAAAGTGTTACATTTCACCTCAGATTCTTTTATCGCTTTTATTTGTCAACGCGACCTTTTAATATAACCGAACGAATTTTTTTTTTGGTGAAAAAAAAAGAGAGAGAGAGAGAAAAAGAGAGCAAAAGGTCATTTGAACCATTCTCTATGTAAACATACCTCTATCCAGACAAAACAATCCAAAGGTTTAAAATCACACTACTAAGTGCGATTTTAAAGAAAACAGGGAGTGAATGTGAGATCCGGAATTTTTACCGATTATTTGACGATTAATTGTCCCGTTTTTGCCTAAAATCCAACTAAATTTTCCTTTAACTTAAAGTGGAACCTAACGGGAAAAAAAACTTTTCGTTTATGTTCGACATAAACATCCGTTCAATTCGAAACTAATCCCACATTCCAACGCTAAAGTTTATAGTTAACATGGGCCCGGGAACAACTCTGACCCATCTGCATACCTTTTACCTCACAACAATTGGTCACATGACCATTCTCCCACGCCGAACTTATAAAAACCCCTTCCTTCCCCTTCTCGGGGGAGTCGTTCATTCGCCGTCACTTTTACAACTGTGTCCTAAGAATATTGTGTCCTATTAATATACTGTGTCCTATACGATATTGTGTCCGGAAGAAAAATTATTATCCTAATCCTACCACATCGTTGGATATCAAAACCTTTTTCCTTAAGAATATTCAAAGACATAAAGAGGTATGGAACTTATTTTTGTGAACTCTCTCTCGGTCCTTTGCAGTTCAGGGATTCAGATTTTCCCTTTTGAAATTGGTTATTGTAATCTCTATGTAGCTAATAAATCGTTGTTATCCTGTTAAAGTGGTGTCATCTTTACTCGTATATCGCCGGTCATCTTACCGACGCACTCCTCCCTCCGCCACTCGACCCGAAACATTTAATCCCGTTACCACGGGAAAGGTAAAATTTTAATCCATCCTGACCAGTGAGAAGGGTTTAACGACCTGTTGCCGGATCGGAGACCTACACCCTCCCCGGCAGGTTCACAAATACATAATTATACAATTATAAATATATTATATTATATTATAAATACAAAATTAAACTGTAAAATACTTAAAGTATTAAATTAAATCATTCAAATACATGACAAATAAACATTTTTAATAAACTTTAAAGAAGAATAAATAAACTCAACTTTACTGCAAACATTTTTGACCTAGTCGATGAGACAAAAACATATGCATTAAAGATTAAAATTTCTTTCTAGAGAACTAAGGTATGTTTAATTGTCATTTAAATTGTTCCAGCTTAGTGCAATTAATGATTATTCAAATACAACAAAAAATTCTAACACATTAACTTGTATAATTGCATCAAGAAAATTGCATGTTTTAATTGCATCAAGAAAAAATTCTACTAACATTCAAAACTATTTATAATGAAATAAGTGGTAGTATTCTTATTGATGGAATATTCTTATGTTTGTATCACTTTACTTGCCATTTATTAGATCTTATTATGAAACACTTAAATAAAAAATGCATCTCTATATTTTGTATTTATTTTTCAATGTAACTATCATTTTGTTTTGTGTTATTTTGTATATTTTACTTCCCAAAAATAAAGCTACATTTAAATATAGGGGAATGCAATTTATATATTTAATCAATCTGCTGAAGTAAAAAATATGCACCTTATAAAAAAGTCTTTGAATCAAAAATGTTAGACTTCAAGGTGGGCTATCACCATAATTGACATTACAATCAATGAAAACAGTACACTTCATTTTTTACATGGAAACCCCCGTTAGTATATAATATATTGCTAATACTGCAGTACATTCTCTCTGAAGAAAAATATACTTGGTAGAGTCAATTGTATGTCATTTAATTTCAGGAATGTGGAGAGAGATGAGTTTGCAAAACTCATTCTTTGTTTTATTCTCATCTCTCTCCATAATAAAAAAATATTGCAATATCTATTATCTTTATAAGAAAAGAAATGAGATATAAATAAAACTTGATAATGAATTTGGATATGTAAATAAAATATTTCATTAAAAGAAATAGGAATGTTTTGGAACCAATATAAAACATGTATAAATGATACAGATAAACATGAAATGTATAAACAATGCTTCACTATAATATATAAAGTTTAATATTTTGAAAATATCATTTCTTTTCATAAACTGCCAATTACAAAGTCAAAGAAAATAGATATACTGAAAAATTATATATTTAAATTTAAATAATTACTAACCAACTCCTTCATTGCAAGAATGAAGTAAATCAGTCAAAGGTGCAGTTGCACCTTCTGCTTCAATTATTTCTGCTCCTTCTTTGTCTGCTGCTAACTCACACAATACCCCTGCAGCTACACGCTGTATATTTTCAATTTCATTATATAACAACTAAAACAGAAAAATTTTTAATAAGAATATTAATAATAATAATTATTGTAGTGATAATTTTGAATCATTTGATTTTGTTAAATTTTTTAACTTACTTGCACAAATACTCTTATTACATTTAAGCCTCGAATAATTGCTCTATTACGAACATCTCGGGCTAAAATATGAAGTGCTCCTACAGTACCTTCAACTATTTCTTCCAATCTTACACCAGAAGAATCTTGAACCTGACTATTATTAGATGCTAAACTAGCTCTCTAATAAATAAATAAAACAATAAAAAAACTTATAATTTCAAAATATAAACACAAATTACATAGTTATTTTTATAGCAAAATTTACTCTTTGAGGATCTTGATATGACTTGAATAATAACTGAACAAGATGTGGAATTGCACCATGTTCTCGAAGAGGAGCATGATTGGCAGAGCAGAGAGCAAGATTACGAATCAAACCAATTACAGCCTAAGTAAACATGTTTCATTAATTTAAAAAATAATATTAGAATAAACCTATAAAATATGTGCAAAGTAGAACTACAATAAACTTCAAATGATGATAATTGTTATCCAACATTTAATTGTATAGAATTACTTACTTTAATCAAAGGCAGACGAGATGGTGGTTGAAGTAATTTGACAATAGCTTGTAATCCATAATGTAATCTGACAGCATTCTGTGCAACTTCAGCTTCATTATGTCTGCTTGTTAAATGACGTAATGCACATACCTAAATGATTTTAATAAATCATATTAGACAAAACTACAAAATAAATTCACTATAAATATTCTTATATTTAAATATATTTTTAAAGATATTATAACCAAAGATTATTTAATAGTAAAATAGCCAAATTACATAATTATCAAATTGGAAATTAAATACCTTCTAATACAAACAAAACAAAATTGTCAAATTAAAAACATACAGTAGAACCTCGATTATCCGGACTAATTGGGGATGAAGGTAGTCCGGATAAGGAAAAATCCGGATAATCGAAACAAATACTTTGTCTTTTAATGATAATACAACACGTTTTCTTTTCGATGACATATCGGTAATATTAAAAATAAATACTGTATTTAAATCGTGATCAAATTTTCAAGAAACAAATGTTTTATTGAATTTGTACTACTACTGACCAGCGCTAACAGACTACCTATTGTTTAANTATCTATTTTAGTAACTGCTTAAAAGTGTGTAATCACTAAAACAGAAAAATTTTTAATAAGAATATTAATAATAATAATTATTGTAGTGATAATTTTGAATCATTTGATTTTGTTAAATTTTTTAACTTACTTGCACAAATACTCTTATTACATTTAAGCCTCGAATAATTGCTCTATTACGAACATCTCGGGCTAAAATATGAAGTGCTCCTACAGTACCTTCAACTATTTCTTCCAATCTTACACCAGAAGAATCTTGAACCTGACTATTATTAGATGCTAAACTAGCTCTCTAATAAATAAATAAAACAATAAAAAAACTTATAATTTCAAAATATAAACACAAATTACATAGTTATTTTTATAGCAAAATTTACTCTTTGAGGATCTTGATATGACTTGAATAATAACTGAACAAGATGTGGAATTGCACCATGTTCTCGAAGAGGAGCATGATTGGCAGAGCAGAGAGCAAGATTACGAATCAAACCAATTACAGCCTAAGTAAACATGTTTCATTAATTTAAAAAATAATATTAGAATAAACCTATAAAATATGTGCAAAGTAGAACTACAATAAACTTCAAATGATGATAATTGTTATCCAACATTTAATTGTATAGAATTACTTACTTTAATCAAAGGCAGACGAGATGGTGGTTGAAGTAATTTGACAATAGCTTGTAATCCATAATGTAATCTGACAGCATTCTGTGCAACTTCAGCTTCATTATGTCTGCTTGTTAAATGACGTAATGCACATACCTAAATGATTTTAATAAATCATATTAGACAAAACTACAAAATAAATTCACTATAAATATTCTTATATTTAAATATATTTTTAAAGATATTATAACCAAAGATTATTTAATAGTAAAATAGCCAAATTACATAATTATCAAATTGGAAATTAAATACCTTCTAATACAGACAAAACAAAATTGTCAAATTAAAAACATATTTTAAAGTATGATTAAAATAAAATTTTTCATATCTTTCTAAAGTGAAACTAGTCTGTACTAAAAATTTTACATACACTTTATGCCAAATTACAAAAGCAATACAAAATCAAACTCTTTCAGTGTTAAAACTTTTTAAGAAAAGACAAAATATATATGTAAGTACTTTCAACAGTGCATTATCATCTTCATCAGGTAAAAATGTTTATAGAATATGTATTAGAAAATTATACAAAAATTTTTTGCTAGATGAAGATGGTCATTCACCACTGAAAGCACTTGTCAAATATTTTATCTTTTTTTAAAGTTTTAACACTGAAAGACGATTGTTTTTTGTACTGCTTAGTCTGTACTACTGTATAATTTAAATCCTAGCAAAAGCTATCTAGTTTTTTTTTCAATTAATTTGAAAAAATAACAATTAATAATAATACCGACATATAATTCAACTTATATTACTTTAAAATATGAAAACTTTGTTTTATTTTTATTTGTAAAATTATTAATAAATTTTATTTTCAAAATTTTCTGAAATATACTACTCATTTTTAAAAATTTTTTAAATAATTAGTATATTTTAAATGAGCTATTTTAATTTAATATCTGAATTAAATAATATAATGGTATCGTTTTACTAAAACTTACAGCTGGTTCTGTGATTTCTTCTCTATCACCTGCTTGCACTATGACTCGCACTAGACCTTCAATTCCTCCCAACTGACAAACAACAATTTTGTTGTTTTGATTATTACAAGTTAAATTTGACAAAACACCTGCTGCACATGTTACAACATTGATATCAGTGCTGCTTAGTAGCTGGACTAAACTTTGAAGCAACTGTTCTACATTTTCCTTAAAAAAAACAAAATTTTTAATTATTCATAATTATTATTAGATTTACATTCACTAAAATTTGACTTATGAATTAAATTTATTTTTATAATTGTAATCAATGTTTCCAATCTATTAAACTTATTAAATGAATAATGAATTTCTAATATTAACAAGTGTGGAAAAGGAAATAGCAATTTCATTAAAAACACCTAACTTCTTATGCATCTATAATTCTTGTAAAGACGACAATTTGATCCACTGCTACTAATTTTTATGAACTAAACAAAGTAATGCATCTTAAAGGCAAAAAACAAACATTATTTTTTATAATTCAGCATTATTAAAAGACTACTAAAATAATTATTACAATTTAAAAAGTTAAATATTGTCACATATTTTTTAACTTAATTATGGTTAACAACTTAATGCTATTGGAAAGTTGCGTCTTTTTGATAATCACTGTATATGTCAAGCTCTTTCAAAAATCCAAATGCTCTCAGCAGTGTGGTAATTGTCTCCTACTTTCACATTTTCTAGACAACTCATTCCGAGACACTGACGCTTTAGTCAAGTCAACAGTATTCTAAGCAGTGTGAATCTTTTGACAGTCTGGAAGTAGGAGACATTACTTACCTTTTTAAATTGCAATATCTATTTTAGTAACTGCTTAAAAGTGTGTAATCAATAAAAAAATGTTATTTTAGTTTTTGTTTACAAAAAGCATTATTTTAATTTCTAACCTGCTAGATTTAGAAATAGAATTAAACCTTCAACCATGTTGCCAGTTTCCCAAGCAATTCTAGAAACCTTTCTAAAGATAAATCATTGAGTTTAGAAGCACTCAAAATGATTTTCTATATTTTATTTAATAGTCTTTAACTGCATTAAAGCATTTTTAGTATTTTTATTCCCTTATATTTTGTGGAGTTTCTGAATTATTCATTTATATATAATTTTGTAATTACGAAAAACTTTAAAATGGTTAATGATCTATTATTATTATTATATTTTAGGAGATTCTGTTCAGTATTTTTTAATGTATACAAAAAATTTTTATTGATGACAATATGGTGAATAATAACAAAATATTTCTTACAAGGGACAATAATGTTAAAATCATGATTTTTCATAAAATAATACTAACTTCTACAAAGTTTAAAATTATATTTTAAATCTCTTATGCTTCATTATTTATCTAAAATATATCAATTAAAACTATATTTTGAGTATATAGAAAAAATATGTCTATATTTTGACTATAAAACCAACTTAGTGTACTTATTAGCAGTATCTATAAGGTTACTACAAATGCACTGTTCAAATTAATTATAGGATATAATCACATCAGATTTGTTTTATAATGAAATCAATACTGTTGACTTGACTCTAATGTTGTAAGATCTAATTGTTATGTTATTCACAAAGAACTGAGTAATATTCTTTCCATATCAGCTGCACTACAATAGTAAATGCAAACAGGTGATTTACAGGTTACAGATGATCTATTAGTGTTATTTTAATAGTTAATATTTTAATAGGCCTAAAATTCAGTAAGTATGGGCAAATTGCCTGGATATATAAGATTGGATGCAACTTCATAAAATTACAACAGTATGTAGAGACATCTACAGGGCAGTTCTGAAAGTGTAGATGGTTGGACAAGTATGATTCTCAACAACAGTTCAAGAATCACAGCTGATGCTGATCTAGAAAATCACACCAGTGTGTGATTTTTGTAAGTAAAAAGGATTGAGACCACAAGATTCACAGATTCAGTAATATTGTGGAATGTGTATAAATGAAAGGAAAATATACCAGTGGGCTAGAAAGCTTTCAAGGCCAAACATTAGCTGTTGATGAACATTGCTGAGGTTGTCCTTTCACAGTCTTCAGTGATGCTAACTTTGCTTGAATGGAAGCACTTAGTAGTAAGAACAGGGATTTCTGTAGACATTACTGCCACAAAATTGAACATAAGTCTTGGATCTGCACATTGCATCATCCATAACACACTGAAATATTGCTATCAGTGCTCTAGGTGAATGCCAAGAAGGTTGACTGATGAACCAAGTTCAAGTGTTGAAGAGCTTTCTTGACTTGTTATCATGCTGAAGTGAAATTCTTCTTTCAGAAGAAGTTCTTACACCTCCAGCTTGAAGAGAGATAGTCAGACAGAGTTTTACTCTGTCTGATTATAATGTATGTTTGGTAATCTTAAGGGAGCATTGCAAAGATGAAAATTTTACAGCAACAATAAGGTGAAGGTGGTAGTGCATTTATGACTTCAACAACAGCCAAAAACACTTTTTCTACTGAAACAGACACTTTTTCATTGATGTGAAAAGGATGGTGACTATGAAAAATGACACTTTATTTGGATCTGTATATATGATGTACTGTACATCTCAACAAAATGCAATTTTTCCTTATTGAATTACCCCCTATAGATAAAATGAAGTCATCAATTCTGTTGCAGTACAAAACTGATCTACAATATCCCATAAATGTTTTGAACAGTACAGACAAATAATAATAAAATTTTTACTTGTTTTGTTGCAGCATCTGATAAATTACGAAGGGTCCATAAACAATTAAGAATCAATCTTTGACTCTGATGTCCAAGATGAGTGGCTAATGCTTGCATTCCACCTAAAAACAAATATAAATAACTTAAAAATATCAATTTTTTTGATTAAAAGCTTGATATCCAGTGTAAAACATTTTTAGTTAATTTTGCAATTATGTAAATATTTAACAGTAGAGCGTCATTTATCTGAAGGTCGGTTATCCGAAGGAATTTCAGTCAACAAATTTAAATTTTCGCCAGTGCTGTGGCGCTGTAATCTTTGGCTATGTCTTCGGCTACTCAAATATTTTACGTTTTTGATAGTAAATTAACATCTGAAGTATAATTTTTTATTGTTTTTATATTTTTCAATATATTTATTTTGTTTGTACAAAATAAAAAAANAAATAAAAATTATTTCATATTTATAATAAAAACGAATTAGATGGCAATTCTCGGGCCAATTTCATACGAATTACAATTCGGAAGAATTCAAATTTCGAGAACGACAAAGAAAAAGAGGGTGGGTTTTTTCTTTAAAGGCTCTTTTGCGGCCAGCGTATTTCATTTAATAATTTTTCGATGAATCTAATAATTTTACTAAGTTGTACAGTACATTATATATTCAGAGGCGAGGGGATATACTTTTTAGGTTAGAAAATTTAGCGGAAATTTTCTGAACCGTGAGATGATTTCCGGCAAAGTTTACAGAAAAATACAAGTGTGGATTGTAGCTATTGGCCAATACGAAAGTTGGCCGCCGTTCCCGACAAAAACTAGGATTTTTTGTGGGACGATCTCTGGCCTTTACGTTAATTTCCTTACCTGGCGGATCCTCGTGGTTCTTAGCGGCAATTAATATTTTAAGCCGTTTTGTGGTAAAGACGGCTTTTCGTCTTTCGCGGTAATTTTATTGGACATTTTTACATTAGGAATTTAATAATTAAAATTTTCAAATTTAATTAATAATCTCGTTCTCACGTAAAAATATAAAGACAATAAACTTTGTCGGATAAAATTAGCTAATAAATAAAAATTAAACGTTTTATTTTGTTTATAGACCAATTTTAGTTAATTTTTTCTTACAAAGAATTTTTTTCCTTTTTAATTAGTTTCGTCGTGTTTTTACTTCTAACGTATAAAATTAAAAAGTTTATATATTATCGTCGCAATTATTTATTAACTCCTCCTTAAGAATGCCATTTTATACGGTAGTTAGTGGCCTTAATAAAGTAATCCCCACTCGAATTTTTTGAAGTGGCAAATAAATCTGTTTTAATTCTCCCTTAAATGTTTTATCGGAAGAAGTTTAAATTCGGAGATTTGCATCGATTCCCGTACTTTCGTATAAAGTCTCCGTTCGAATCTTCTGCTAATTGACGATTGCCTTTTTCTTCTTGCCATTTTCGAATTTAAGATTTATTTCTTTTCTGAAGATTTTTGTGAGAAAAAATTGGACAATAATTATAAATAAATTTCACTTTTTAGTTGAGAAGTGCGTGAAGAACGTTTGTCTTAAATTCGAATTAATTCCAATTTAAGATACACGTCCGTTCACGCAACGTTCGAAATTTTTTATGGCGATTTTAATATTATTAATAACTTGAAATTGTAAATAAAATTTTAAATGCTTTAAAATTATAACTTATTACTTTATTTGTTGTCACATATAATTCAGATTTCTATTTATAGCAAAAGTATGCAAAAATAATGACAAAAATTTATACCTTAATAATTTAACAAGTGCAGGAATTCCTCCAGATTTAAAAATTGCTAATAAACCTTGACGATGATGAGAGAGATTATGCAGAGTACTAGCAGCACATCTAGTTGTTTCTAAATCATTAGAAGTTGACATTGCTCGAACAAGTCCTGCCACCATTTGAGGAGAATTCATTAATGCATGTCGTGAAGCTTCTTTTTTCGATAACTGATGAACCATCATAGCAGCTTGACTAACAACTACCTGATCTTCATCATTTAACAACTTTATCAACTCTGGAATGGCTCTAGTTGCTAGATCAGCATCATCCTGAATAAAAATAAATTATTATTATTATTATTATTTTGAAATTGTGAAATGTTTTAACTTTTGTAATGACGATACAATATTATGAGAAAATGATATTGTTAAGTTTAATTAACCATTTCCAAATATCTAATTCAATTTTTAAACACTTTGAAAAAGGTTGAGCCTAAAGTGTATTTAAATAAATAAAAAAATTACAGAAAATAAAAATGTAAAGTTATTACTATGAATTTTTTCCTTTCAATATATATTTTTGAGGTAATAATGTTCCAGAAAATTTAAAATGATTACAATTTACTAAATAATTGAACATAACTTTCTTTTAACTTTTAAAAACCATTCATTAAGTTATAAATTATTTTATTGGTATAGTTTTGATCTAAAATGAATTAATCACAGTCTTCATAGAGCACATTTTTGCCATCAATAATTGATTACTATTTACTAACCAAAAAAATAATACAATATGACTGTAATATAAGATATACCAATAAAAACAAAAAATATACAAGATATAGTAGAAAATCTTGCTTATTTTAAATATACTACAAGCTGGAATCTATTAAAGTAGATGATATGACAGAAATGTAATTTTCTTGAAGAATGAGTGCCATTTTGCTAAGCTTATATACAGAGACATTTGTTACTTTTGGATACATTTAATTACTTTTTGTACTTTTCATTTTAATTTTTGTTTGTATGTTCTTTATTGAATTATACATGAAATAATATACAACAGCATAATAGAATTAAAATAAAACTTTTAGGGCCTNAAAAAGGTTGAGCCTAAAGTGTATTTAAATAAATAAAAAAATTACAGAAAATAAAAATGTAAAGTTATTACTATGAATTTTTTCCTTTCAATATATATTTTTGAGGTAATAATGTTCCAGAAAATTTAAAATGATTACAATTTACTAAATAATTGAACATAACTTTCTTTTAACTTTTAAAAACCATTCATTAAGTTATAAATTATTTTATTGGTATAGTTTTGATCTAAAATGAATTAATCACAGTCTTCATAGAGCACATTTTTGCCATCAATAATTGATTACTATTTACTAACCAAAAAAATAATACAATATGACTGTAATATAAGATATACCAATAAAAACAAAAAATATACAAGATATAGTAGAAAATCTTGCTTATTTTAAATATACTACAAACTGGAATCTATTAAAGTAGATGATATGACAGAAATGTAATTTTCTTGAAGAATGAGTGCCATTTTGCTAAGCTTATATACAGAGACATTTGTTACTTTTGGATACATTTAATTACTTTTTGTACTTTTCATTTTAATTTTTGTTTGTATGTTCTTTATTGAATTATACATGAAATAATATACAACAGCATAATAGAATTAAAATAAAACTTTTATTCTTATTTTAATTCTATTTGTTTTAGCAATTTCAGATTTTTCTGTCATAAACAGTTCAAATATTCTAAATTAGAAAGTGTCTATTAAAATCTTCTAATATTAATTAATAATACATTTGTTCAGCATTCAAATTACTGATAATATGTTTTTGTACTTGAAAACATTTAATAAGTTATCTATAATTTCTTTCAATAAAGCAATCCTTTTTTGAAAATTTCTCAAATGTTTGGCTTGACGAAATTTATACATAAACTACGAATAATTTCTCAGTTTCTACTATATTAATATTAGAATTATACAATTATTTCTATCTGTTTAACAGAAGAAATAAACAATTCCAATATTTTATAATATCAAAAAAATTTATTTTTTATAAATAAGTTTTAGAACTGTCTACTATAAATATTCAGTTATCAGCATTAGAAAAATAAATATAAATGATGAAAATTCCTTTAAAAAAATAAATAGTCTCTACTATAACCTGTCTACACATCTTTAACAGCTATATGAAATTGTATTCACATGGTTTTTCCAAATATAAATAGAATAAAAAGCCAAACCAATAATGCTTTTATAGTAATTTATTTCAAACTTTATTATTTTTTATGACAACTTCACTGGGGCAAAATGGTTGATTAGAAATAATGATAATTTCCACATTTTTTGAAATAATTCATATCTAAATTACATTACATATATCAATAAACACATACCTGATAATTTATTATATTTACAACTGCATGTTTCAACATTTGAGAAGGTTCTGATAATTTCTGAACAGCAGTTGGACGACTAGTATCAAACTGAGTAGAAGGAATTTCAATTCCTTTTTCAAGTGTTTCTGGAAACATTGCTTCTCGAACACGTTGTGATCTTGTTTGGCTTAATTGTTGATTTATTTCATCAACTTGTTCATTTGTTAATCCTTGACCAAATTCTCTTTGTTCCCAGTCAAACAACATTTGATTAGTATCCATCTCTTCATCTTTACCTGTTACAGATGGAGCCTGTGTATTTGATCCAGAATGGATCCCTAAATCTACATGATATGAATTTTGTTGCCAAATCATTGTCTGTTCTTTTGGATTAGAAACTGGTACTTCGGGTGTTCCGTAATTTCGATGTAACATTGTTCTTCCTACTGCAGTGTTGGAAGGAGTATAACTCATTCTCAATTTCACCTTTAACAATTATTAAATTATTGAATTATAAAAGATTTATAATTTTTGAATTATAAAAAAAAATATCAGTAGAATTTCCCCGCCGCGAGGGGAATCTCGTAGAATCCGGCGAAGAAAGCGCAAACTCGGGGAAAAACAAGATGGCGAAGCATCATCCCGATTTGATTTTCTGTCGCAAGCAAGCAGGCGTCGCTATTGGACGACTCTGTGAGAAATGCGATGGAAAGTGTGTGATATGTGACTCTTATGTGCGACCCTGCACTCTTGTTCGAATCTGTGATGAGTGTAATTACGGCTCGTATCAGGGACGTTGCGTGATCTGTGGAGGTCCAGGAGTGTCGGATGCCTACNAAAAAAAAAAAAAAAATTATTATAATATAATGAAAAAAACCATTCAATAATTATTTTAATAATATTCTTTTAACAAAAAATTAAGAAAAATTAGTTATTATTTTGAGACTTTCATATATTAATTCATATAATTTAAATTGGCTTCAACACAATTAGTTAATAAGAGAAAATTAGCATTGTTTAAATGACACTTACATATGTTTTATAAACATTTAACAAAATAAAGTCAATGTATTAAGAAATTAATAATAATGAATAAATTTCATCAAAATAAAATAAGAGTATTAAACATTAAATTATATTAAATTAAATATTCTGGGGGCACTGTCTGACTTGTGGCTGTTGACATGAAAATTTTTATCTCTAGTGATTTGACTGATTTTTGCTTTTCCTTTGAAAAATGTCAATTTCAGGATCAGAAACGAAAAACATTTTTGCCACTATCTCAAGATGAATCACCACGAAATGTAAGAAAATGAATTGGAAGCAAGGAAAATGTCTCAGGTGAGTCAACGGAACAGTTGATCTTGTCTTATATAAGTGCCGAAAAGGAGATTAATGTTGAAGAAATTCAACTTCTGTTAAAATTGCAAGCTTCTTCAAATAGTAAACTATAAATACTTTTAGAGCATTTAGATAGAATGCAAGATGAATTGAGAATATTGATATATCATTGGTAGATGTCAAAACTAGACTCTCTGCTCTTGAAGCTGATAGAGAAAAAGGCTATGTTAAAAATGCCAAATCAAATACAGAAATAGATATAATATGCAATAATCTCTGTGAAAAGTTAATAAGACTAGAAGATAAAGAAAGAAAGAACAACGTTGTAATATCAGGTTTAGAAGATAATGATAAAATGAATGATGGTTTAGTTAAGGCTGAAGAACATTTAAATGATAATTTAAAGATTGCAGATGTCAATATTAAATGTGTTTTTAGAGTTGGAAAATTTAAACTGAATACAAAAAGACAGATTATTTCTGAGTTGTTTAATTTTGAAGCTAAATTAAAAATTCATAAAAAATATTAGTAATTTAAAAGGTTCAAATATATTCATCAATGACAATTATTTGAGAAATACCAGACTTATCAGAAACAATTAAGGCTATACAGTAAAGAAATTAAAGCATTTAAAAGGTGCCAAAATTGTTAAATTATGATATAATAGTTTACTCATAAATGACAAGATATTTGCATGTAATTACAATGGTGAAATCTTCCAAACAGACAGAGAACAATGTTTTTTAGGAATATAGTTTATAATGACAAACAACATAATAACATAAACAACAAAGATGACCAATATGAAGTCCTATATTTTAACAAACATGATAACATGAAACTTCTTTTCTACAATATTGCAGGTTTACATAATAAATACTGTTTCCCTAACTTCTGGAACTTGATATATAATATGGATATACAGTAGAGCGTTGATTATCCAAATCAATTGGAGACTGGGGTTGTTTGGAAAATCGATATTTCAGATAACTGATTATGTACGAAAAAATATATTAATTTATCCCATGTTGAAATTTTTCTCCATTGTGTGTCACTTCGCGTTGAATTTTCGTCGATGTTAAGCCTAATGAAGACTATTGTATCATAAAAAATTATTTTTTTATTTTGTACAAACAAAATAAATATATTGAAAAATATAAAAACAATAAAAAATTATACTTCAGAAGTTAATTTAGTATATAAAATGTAAAATATTTGAGTAGCCCAAGACATAACCAAAGATTGCAGCACCACAGCACTGACAAAAATTTAAATTTGCCGACTGGAATTCTTTCAGATAATTGACGTTTCGGATAATCGACACTCTACCATATTCTGTCTGGTGGAAACATAGCATTCATCTTCAGCAATTGAATCACTTTTTTCTGATGACTATAAAATTTATCATCAAATAGCTCATAGTTGTGAGGGACCTGGAAGACCCAGTGGAGGCTTAATTGTTCGTCTCAGATCAGATATAATCTCTAAGATTAAATTGATATTTCAGACACAGTTTACACTGATTTTACAACTAGTCACTGAGGAGTTAACTAATATCCAGCTAATAATGTCCTATATCCCACCTGACAGTAATTATGACAATGATTTCAAAAATACTTTGTTGATTATACTTTGACGATTACTTGCTACATGGAACTAACTTGATTTTATGTGCCGATTTTAATGCTAGAATGGGACTTCCTAATTATTTATCATGTTTTACGGTGACCAGCAAATTGCTCTCAGAGTTTCAAAAGATTCTACAGTTAATAACAGAGGAAAAATTCGCTATGATTTTTTGTGAGGATAATAGTCTTGTTTGTCTAAAAGATCTATTGCCAAGAGATAAAGAAGGTAATTTTACTTTCCATGCAACCAAGGAAGCCAGTGTAATTGATTTCATAATAGTGTCACAAGAAATATACTCTCGTGTTGTAAATGATTTGTGTCTTATCACAGATAGGTTCAGACCACTCATCTGTTCTTCTTTTAATGGCCTTGCTGATTTCATCCAGAGTTTCTAATGATCAAGTTTTTGGTAAACATGCAATATAGAGAGATGAATCTAAATATTCATTTGCTGCTACATTAGATAATGTTCTATCAGAAGAATATGGAGGAAATCTCTCATCCTAAGATTTAGTAGAATGTATAGCAAAGGTGGCAATGTCTCTAAACTTAATTTATAATGTTAAATCTCTACCTTACAAAAGACATATAACAAGTGTATGGTATGATAGCAAATGTTCTATCATGTGAAAAAACTTGTGGAAACTGTTTAAGAATGCAAAAACTCAAGTACAAATGATTCTTATATTTTGTATAAAAGCTATTTAAAAGAATATGAAGTATTATGTCAAAAGAAAAAACAGTCTTATTTTTGAAACTTAAATAAAAGACTGCTAACATCCAACAACTTTAAAATATTTTGGCAAATAATTAATACCGTTAAACGTAAAAGTCTATCAGATTATAATTCAAGATTTTTTTTAGAAAGATGGTTCAATTTTTAGGCTACTGAATTCTCCAAAGAACATTCTTTATATATTAATGGTGAACAATTGTTGATGGATGTGTATAAAGTTTTACAATAGAAATGGAATGTTTTACAGATTTTATACTGGAAGACCTAAAAAGAGCTATTAATCATTTTAAAACTGGTACCTCACCTGAAATTGATTTTATTAAAACAGAATATTTAATGTGTTTTTCAGAAAACTTTCTTCTTACAATATTGGAAGTTTTTTAATGCTATAAAAAGAAATTTTACTTTCTCAGAAAAATAGATTGAATCTTTGATTATTCCAAAATATAAAAAAGGCAATGTGTATAACCCAAAAAATTATCGACCCATATCTCTGGTTCCTTGAATCAGTAAACTATTTATGTCCTTATTAAATAAAAGATTAGAAGATTGGATTATTAAAAATGATATTTTGTGTCAGGAGCAAGCAGGTTTTCGACCTGGCCAATCATGTCAGAATCAAATATTTGTATTAAATGCATTGATGCAATTAAAATTGCAGAAAAAAAGAGGGAAACTTTATGTTTTTGTAGACTTTCAATCTGCTTTTGATACAATTAATCATAAAGTTTTATGGTCTCTATTAGAAAGAATGAGCATGAATAAACAGTTTCTTGACCTTATAATTGATATATATATATATAATATATACAAAAGCTACTGCAAGAATGAAGATATTAGCCAAAACGACTGATTCATTTGGTATTGACATTGGAGTTCTGCAGGGTGAAATTCTGAGCACATTACTTTTTAATTTGTACATTAATGGTCTGGTAGTTTGACTTGCTAAATCTAACTTACCTGGGATTTCTCTCTCTGATCAAGTTGAGTTACATGTATTAATGTATACTGATGACACTAATTCTTGCTGATACTCCACAAATGTTACAAAAGTAAAATTGCAATTCTGGAGAAATTTTGCTGTGTCTATGGATTAACTATAAAGGTTTCTAAAACAAAAGTAATGGTATTTAAGAAGGGTGGCAGAGGATCACCCAGAGAGAAATGATTTTTTTAATAATCAGTCTTTATAGATCATTTCAAATTACATATACTTAGGAGTATTATTTTTGTCTTCTGGACAATTTTTACAGGCCAAAAATTATAATACATGTAAGGCTAAAATGGCAATGGGTTCAGTATGGCCTATTCTTTCAAGAGCTAAAATTAATTCTGCTTATATCTATGTAAAGTTATTTTGTTTGATGATTTCTTCTATATGGGCAATTACTTATTATGATAAACTGGAAATTGTCCTTGCTTTATATCTTCGAAGAATTTTTATTTTATACTGTAAAATTCCAGCTTACATGTTATGTTTGGAATTTGGTGTCTCTAGAATATCGGTGATAATAATAAAAATAATAGTTTCATTTTGGAATAAGACTTTTGAAATTAGACGACAAAAGTTACGTTAGCATATAAATAACTGTAAATTGTGTTCAACGATGGATAATTCTACATATAATTAATCATTGGTGTTGAAAAATTTGCTAGATTGACATGGTTTCTCTTTCCCATTGGCTGTCTCAAGATCCTCATTTAATTAAAAGCTATCAAATGTTAATTATAAGAGTATGCTGTGAACAAACCACACAAGAAGATTGGTCTTTGCTGGAAAAGACAAATATTTTCAATTATATCATAGTGTTAAAACAACTTTTATGTGCGAGGATTATTTGTTTATGGACAAAAACTATCATGTAAAACGTTCAATACTGCAAATGCGATGTGATCAAAATTATATTTTGACATATAATAACAGTCTAATAATAAATCCTGAAAAATTTTGTAGTAATTGTACTATGCCAGTATATGAAACTTGGGAACATGTATTCTTTCAATGTATAATATTTGAAGTAAGTAGGAAAAAGTATTTGATAAGATTTAAATCGTGGAAAGATATAATCAACATATCATATTTTTCAAAAAAATGATTATTGCATATTTTACTTTATATTATTTGGTATTAAACTATTACATTAATTTGACAAACTGTACTAACTTTTTTGTGCATTACTGTCATCACTGTATGTCTTTTATTTTGTAATATCTTGTATTAATCTATTGTATTAACTTATTATGGTGCACTAACTTCACCTTTATGTAACCCTCTTGTAATGAACTAAGGTTCAAACAATAAAGAATTGAGAAATTAAATATTCTATATATTTGCTTTTGAATTAATGTAAAAAGAAAAGCAAACAAATTTCCATAAGATTAAAATAAAAGATTTTAGAATACAAATTTTTCTTATAATTAATGTGGTTAAAATGCAAAAATAACTTTTCTAAGGATGAAATCAATGCATATTTTATATTTTACTGTTAAAATTTAATTATATTTAAAATACTTAAATTAGAATATAATAAAATTTAACATATATTAATATTACCTGTGTATTTGATCCAGAATGGATCCCTGAATCTACATGATATGAATTTTGTTGCCAAATCATTGTCTGTTCTTTTGGATTAGAAACTGGTACTTCAGGTGTTCCGTAATTTCGATGTAACACTATTTATAAAAATAATAATAATAAAGTTTCATAAAATTAGTCTTGATTAAATAATTAATAAAATAGTTTAATTGTCAAAAAATTATCAGATTTATTAATGTTGATAAAAAGTTTAGAAATTTTAATATTTTTCAAAATTAAATAAAGAAAATTTGTTTAAGACTGTTTTACTACAGATAAGTCTTTTATGTTACAAAAATAAAATTCTGTGATTCTCTTATATTTATCAAGTAAGATTTACAACCTTGAAATCAGTGAAGTTCATTCAAATGTATGAGATAAAACATGTAATTAAGCACTGATGGATCTTGAAGACAAACTTTTTATGTTTCAATTGGCAGAAGCAGTACGAAACTGTATATGAAAGTAACAAAACAAAAAATACTAGGCCATGACCAAAAAGTCACCTCCAATACTGGTCATTAAAAGTCATTCACATTAATAGGCCTACTGGTGACAATAGTCAGTAGTATATTGTATTTCCTTTTCATTTATCACACTGGCCAGTTGTCAAAGCACTGAGGTGACCAAGTTGCATAACATTGCAACCAGAATTTTAGCATACTTCACCCAAATACACCTGTAATTGCTGAAGTGTCTGTGGTTGCCATTGGTCCATTTTTGTTTCAATCAGTGCAACACATTCTCAATAAGTAATAAGTACAGAGTATTCCCAGGTCAGGAGAGCATGTGACTGCAGTTGCCAGCCAACCAGACTTTTGTAATTATAACCAAATGTGGTAACACTCTAATGTGCTGAAACTGATGCTAGACCAGGCATGGACAACATATGGCCTGCAGGCCGGATCTGGCCCATCTAATGAATTTATGTGGCCTGCGATTAATCTTTCAATATTAGCTACTCAATTCTGAATAGCTCAATGAAAAATTCTGACACCTAAAAAAAAAAAAAGGTCAACAACTCACCGTACATTTACAGTTAACCCTCCATTGCAAATCTCTTAAGTACAGCGTAGAATGTTGATAAAGCATAATAATGTGAAAAATCTATCTGTAATCTCTATTCTCTATTTACAATTTAGTCTCTACAGGGTGACACACAATGAGATCATGCACCACCTCAAAAATCTTCCTAGGTCAGCCTCTGGTTCGGCCTGTGAAAAAAGTTTTCTTTCCAATTCAGCCAGGTGGCAAAAACTGTTGGCCACCCCTGTGCCAGACTATCAACTTAATAATTCCTGTTGTAAAAATGGTGCTTTAGGATTTGGATATAATCTTGGGCTATAATGGTATCACTACAGAAGTCAAGGGTGCAACAAAATTGGTGTTTATGCAGTCTCAGAGTGTGACTATGCAGACACGAGCGAGCGAATTTTCCGAGCAAGCGAGAATATGTGGCAAGAACAGGCAAGACGGAATAAATATCAAAACCTGTCAGATATGTGCGAGAACAAGAAATTCGCTCTCGCTAGCGTTATTTTTCGCTTCTCGTTTGTGTATGGTTTTCCTTTGCGAAAACTAAATCACTTGCTCTAAATTCGCGTCTGCATAATCGCACCCTCAAACCATTAAAGACTGTAATTTTTGCACCTTACATGTGTAACCAGAGTTGGTAAATTTTTTCATCTCCTTTCTTGGCAATTTCATCATATTTAATGGTGCAAATTCTCTCAAATATAGTACTTGCTTCTAACAACATATAGTCCAACCTAAATGAAGAGAGTCCATTCTAAACACATTCTCTTCACAAACATGTTGAGGAAGAGTTTTTGCTTTGCATTATGAAAACTAGTTCAATTGGTAAACATATCTGTACATTGACAACTCAGAGACAGGCTTTTGAAAATTTTTTCTTGCTCATTGTGTTAATTTGTAGAATATGCCAGTTTGTCTGAATATCATGATAAAGCATACAGCATGCAATTCACATCTGTTGAGTATCCAATGTCTGCCTAGTGTCTTTCCAAGATAACTGAGTTCTAGTTACTTTGTATTTCTTGAGCATACCATGGATTGTTGATTATGTCAAATGGACATAGATGCAATTGTATGTTTCAAATCTCCATTTGTGGTGCTCAATAATAATGTTGCACAGGATCTGGAGCAGGTTTACTTCATGATATTTTAGGGTTCTGCATTACCACTTGGTAAAGAATCTTAAAGGCATTAGTTTGTAAGAGATTCTGCTGCAGTTTGTAAATGCTGTTTGCTGTTACAGTTACTAATTAGGAAGTTAGATTGAACAACCACTGTTAAAATCCATCTAGTTTGATAATTTGCTTAATGGGTTAATTAAACATTTGACAACAATCAATCAATTCAAAGTGCCTTGGAACTGGAAATGGTTATAAGTGAGAAATGTAATTTTAATGATTTTAACAATTAATGTAGTTTTTTAAAATGTATAAGATAGTCATCACCAGAAAGTGAGCTATCAGGAACAAGATTGTCCAAAATGCATTTTCCGTATAAAAATGAGTCAATAAATGATGATGATGATTTCCTAATCAGGCAATAATTCGATTACTGGTATAATAAGTCTGGTATTATAGGTGGATGGTGATGACCATTAACCTATCAGATGGTCAAAGTTTTCTCGTTGCAATTTGGTTTCGTGAAAATATGGGGCTTTGAGATGTTTATACATTTAACTTAAAGTTAGTATTCAAAATTGAAAATTACAAATTCTATTTTATTTTATTTAGTATTAATATGAAAAATTTTCAAAAATATCATACTTGTTCTTCCTACTGCAGTGTTGGAAGGAGTATAACTCATTCTCAATTTCACCTATGATAAAAGAAAATTACAATTAATTATAATAACATATTAATAAACAGTTTACAATATTAAAATAATTTAATAATCCACATGATAAATAACATAAATTAAATTTAAACTTGAAATTATTTTTAAAATTTCTTCATCAATGCAATGCAATTTACATAATGATACAGAACATGAGATTACTGTAAGAAGAAACTAATTCTGACATGAAAATAAAAGCAGGCTCCGTAAGAGTAATAGCATCAAGCCTTTTATTCATTATTTATGTGTACAGTAGAACCTCGAAAACTCGGCTCTCGATAACCCGGCACTCCAGATAACTCGGCCACACCCTGGCAAGGCAAAAAAATCCTTAGTTAATTAATTTTCATTATAGACAGCTTTATAAAAGTATAAAAGCTCTCATAAAGTATCTTTCTGAGGTCTGTCTTATCAGGTAAATTACTGTACACAGTGTATTCATTAATTTTCATTTTCATGTAGTAAAGGCTCTATCCCTTCATAAAGGACGTACTTTTCCTTTGTTTAAGGGTATTTGGGCAGTTTATTCTCTGTTATATTCTCAAGTAAACAATACATACAAGTACAGTACAGTATTTTCTGCGGAAACACTCATACTTATTTTTTTAACCCCATTCCTGATAACCCGGCATTTTCACAAACTCGGCCACCCTTCGGTCCACATTAGGCCGAGTTTTCGAGGTTCTACTGTACTATATTTTTTAGCAATTAATAAAAATCGTTGTTGTTTAAAAAGTACCAAAAATTATTGTTCTGAATGATTTTAGTAATTCTCAAAAACTAATACAAATACCTTTACTTAACTAAAGAATTTTTAATTTAATATAATAAATGTTTCTGAAGCTTTTAGCTTTATCTTCAACACATCATTTGACCTTTGTTCAAACAAAAAAGACATTTGGTTAAACTGTTTTAATTTTGTTTACATAAAGGTCAAGTGATGCATTTGAAGTTGAAGCTAAAAGTTTTGAAAACATTTATGTTACAGTGGTACCTCAGGATACGAAATTAATCCGTTCCGAAACTGAGGTCGTATCATGAAAATGTCATAAGGTGAATCATTTTTCCCCATGTGTAAAACCAAATAATTCGTTCTAACACGAAAAACACACTCAAATTAAAGCTAAGCAGTACATTAAAAAAAAGATAACTATAGTAAGGAAAACACTGAAAAAATGCATTTTGTAGTTGTAAATGTATAAATAACCATAATAGAATAATAATTGATAAAAAAAAAATATAGTTTTATTTGCACTTTACTTTTGAGGATAGACGACAGTGGAGGTGTAAACTGGTGGTGGAGGAGAGTGGAGAAGGGATATGATACTAAAACTTAACTTACATAACATAATGTAACAATAACTTAAAAATAACTTAGAAAAGATAAAAAAAAAATTAGTGTTGTTTTTCATATTTTTTTGTTTTAATTTTTATTCGCTGCATTTTGCTTTTTTTCCTTCACTTCCACCAGAACTTTCACTGGCTAGAGGTTGCTCAGTAAAATATCTATCCAAAGAGGTTTGACTTTGCCTACTTTTTAAAATGTTTCTAAAATGACTTAGGCAAATGTCATTACTTCGAGCAGCAATACGGCCAGTGTGAACCTTTTCAGGATATTTCTTTTCAATAAAATCGGTCACTTTCTGATGATACCTCAAGATTTCCTTTATCGAGCGAGATCCTTCCACGACGAAGCAAACGCGGGACTGAGACCGATGAACAGAAGTGAATAAAAAATGGCGCTGCGAACTAATGTAACGTCGTATGGTGAGTTTTTGTTCGTATCGTGGAGCAAAAATATGTTCGAATTTCATGTCGTATCCTGAAAATTTCATATGCTGGGGCGTTCGTATCCTGAGGTACCACTGTATATTAAGAATTTTTATGAATTTTCCGATGGTTTAGCTGTTTTGTGTTGATTTTGTGAACGTCTCTTCAATTAAAAAAAAAATTTGGCTGTGAGGTAGTCTACTGGAAAAGTTTTTTCAGATTGAAGATACGTTCACTAAATTAAGAACTTTTATTTGATTAAAGACTTTTTTCTATTTGAGTTTTAGAATTTGTATAAGGAACTGAAAATATGTTAGTCTGTTGGGAGGTCTCCTTCTTGTCGATTTTCAGAAATAACTTGGCAAAACAATTTAACATAACATTTATTTATAACATAGAACTTATGACTCAACATAAATGATATTGCCATACAACTTAGAAAGTACGGAGAGTGATTTCTTCCGTACTGATACTGACACCTCAAGTCAGAAAGAAAAGGTTTCTTCTTTTTGTGTGTTCTCCTTCATCCTCAAACACGATTACTCTGACCTCTTCACATCTTTCCAGGAAGTAGTTTGCAGTTCATATTTTCAGTTCCTTATACAACTATACAAAGATACTTGTAATGTCTTGCTATTGCTGGCAGAGACTGCTCTGCCAGGAATAGCAAAACATCATAAGTATCTGGGGTTGAATTTAACCCGACATCTTGAGCATGTGACTAATGTATCCTGTTGCTGCTGCAAATCTGCTGCTTTAGTCATTGGAATGTGAGGGTTGGTCTCAGTGACTGTTTGAGTTGTTGCTGTTTCTGGACTGCTCCTAGCATCCTCCTTATATATGTAAGCTGGCTTGGTGGGGAAACAAAACTTTTGAGATAGCAGTGATAAATCGACAATGATATGTCAATTTATCACTGCTATTTCAAAAGTTTTGTTTCTCCACCTCAATACATGATGCAGTCCTTCGTAAGGCAGTTGTAATCCTTTTCAAAGTGCATCAGTTCACAAAAAGATGTTGGAACAAGAGACAAGATCTTTATGAATGTGAGAACCTGGACTAAATAATGAAAGATATTTCCAAAAATGGGAAACAATGCCAAGATGTAGCTAATGTATTGACCTGAGAGAGTTTCCTCTTTCACTTTCTCAGCATCAGGATTTTCTTTCCCACAAACTTTTGTCCTTCTAAGGTATGATGATGTTTTAATATACCAACAAACGCAATTCAGGCAGTCGTCGGCCATTCCTCCAATGGACTAGTCATGCCTGGCTCTTACCTATTTCACTAACAGATACTTCAGCTACAGATATGATTCATCCGCTGTTACACATTTAAAGGACGGAGTGTCCAGACATGAACTTTCTCTAACTGATGAAGTCAGTGATACTGGCTCATATCACCAACTGGATTGGTTAGATCCTTAGAACTTCTACAACAAGGTATTTATCAACTTGTGAACCATTGTGAACTCTCTTTCTTGCATGCTCAAGGCTACTGAAATCCTAATAGACTCGCTATAATTATCAGTGTAAAATTCTATATGTTTAATAAACGAGTATTTGTTTGGTTTAACTTGTATCCGAATGCTTTTCTTGTCATGTGTTGTCTCTTAAGCCTCCTCCATCCCGATTCCAACCACCTACACACACAATCGCTCACGTGACCTAACAATAACATAAACAGACCTAACAGTTGTGTGGTGTCTTCCATCCTGACATAGTCATCACTGATGCGATGTTGACCCTTTGGTCAAGTGGTACAAAAGTATAGGGGCACTTCATGCATGAAAAACATTGCTGTTTTCTTGGGAAGACATAATTCTGATCAGATTTTCTGCATTTCCTCTCTCAGCTTACCAACAAAGGTAACTGGGGGGAGAGGAACTCATGTGGTAAACATAAGGTCACTCATAAATCATCTCAGCTATTGTTGCCTGGATGTCATCTTTCCAAGCAGATCTGAAACCCAACAGTACTGTAGGGAGTGCCATGGTCCACCAGTTTGTAGCATGTGCCATTATGGCTGATTTCAGTTGGCAATGGAACCACTCTACTTGACCATTTGCAACCAGATGGTAAAGGGTTATGCAAATCCTCGCAGTCCCCAGCCAAGAAGTGAAGACTGAGAAAAGCAAAGATTTGAACTAGACTCCTTGATCTGTTGTCAGGTGCAGTGGCAGACCAAAACAGGCTACCCATTGAAAGTAGAAAGTCTTCGCTACTGCTTGTGCAGTACTTTTGACTAAAGGGAATGCTTCTGGATACTTAGAGAAACAATCCACACAGGTGAGACAAAATCTGCATCCATCTGATGGAGGCAAGGGTCCAAGTCTATGTGAACATCTAGCATTAGGAGTAACAAACGTTGCCTAGTTGGCTTCAAGTGTGACAAGAGACTTTTGTTTGTTGGCATGGAATTTATTTTATTTAATGAAAGACAATGGCCATACACAATGCGTTGAGCTGGCAGAAAAGAGGAAATAGGGGGAAGAGGGGAAGAAGATAGAAAGAAGAAAAAGAACAGATCCCTCTGAGAGGCATACAGATGGTTACTACACTCTTTATGAATTGACACTACTATGAAAACAGCAAATATACTGATAACTTAAATTTAACCTAACTAACTTAAAATTAACTTATTAATTAAAAATTAGCTATCTTAAATCTAACTATCACATACACTGAACCAAATTTACGGTGTGGTACGATAAACAACGAAAAATAACGAAAAACATAGAGTTGTTTCCTGGTGCATCGAATGGCTCTGTTTAGACATATCATCCTCACTTTACCAAGGAGGGGTTCGCTCCACGGGGGGAGACGTATCCGGAAAAAGGACATGGGTACGACAAAAAAAAAAAAAAAAAAGAATGTATCGTACCCATGTCCTTTTTCCGGATACGTCTACCCCCGGGGAGCGAACCCCTCCTTGGTAAAGTGAGGATGATGTGTCTAAACAGAGCCATTCGATGCACCAGGAAACAACTCTATGTTTTTCGTTATTTTTCTTCGTTTATCGTACCACACCGTAAATTTGGTTCAGTGTATGTGATTATTATTGAGGTGTGGTGAGTAGTTTGTTTTAAATCTAACTTAAAACTAGTTATACTAACTTAATGTTAAATTATTACTAACAAGAATACTGACAAGGACAATAACCCAGACAAACTAGAGCATGCAGTGAGCAGGACACCAAATTTATTTATTTAC